CATTTACTGGATTATATGTATGTATTTTATTTTCAGGCTCAAAATCTGGGGACTACCACAACGACATGAATCATTTGAACTTCATGAAATGGGTAGAAAGCCAATTGATCCCAAATTTGCCTGAAAATTCTGTGCTTGTAGTTGACAACGCTTCTTATCACAATGTCCTGGAAGAAAAAAATGTAACGTCTTCTAGCCTGAAATCAGAGATGATTGACTGGCTAGAAAAACATCAAATTCCTAGTGAAAAGTCATTGACTAAGGCCGAACTATATAAAAAAATACAGGAAAATAAAAGAAGATTTCCAGTCAAATACAAGCTAGATGCCTTAATGGAACAGCACGGGCATAAAGTTTTACGACTGCCTCCATATCATCCGGAGCTAAACCCAATCGAGAAGATTTGGGCTCTCGTAAAAAACTGGGTTGCTCCACGAAATGTGACATTTAGGTTGTCTGATGTGGAGCATCTGACCCGTAGCAGGTTTGAAGAAATTGGAGCAGATGAGTGGAAGAAAATTTGTAACCACGTGAAAAAATATGAGCAAGCACAAATGGAAAAAGAACATCTTCTCGACGATCAAATGGATACGTATCAATTCAATGTGAACACAGAGTCATCATCAGAAGATAGTGACGAAAGCGACTCAGATGAAGATTTGAAGCTAAACACACTATCATCTGATAGCGATTAGATTTTTTAATGATAATATATAATTTGAATTATAACCGTCTTTAGTTTGCTCCCTCTTCTGATTCAAATTTGCTTCCGAACAACTTAATGCGCATACTAAATGAATATAATAATACAAAAATCAATTAATGATCAATGTCTACACAACCTATTCACTTTATTTTATACTTCAAATAAAATAGAACGCCACTGCGCTCTGTCGACGACCGCGTGATGAGCGGACCCGCCCACGATGACGTAGCGGTCATATACTAAGAGCGTTCGAACCATAACATTCGCATCGAGCAAGTTTCTGTATTCACTACGTACTGACTGCATGAATGCTCGCTATGTAACGTGTTACATTACATCTCGTAACGTGCGCTGTAATGTAATGATCACATCGAGCGTTACATTACAAAGCTCGTGATTTGAGTCCAGCGAATGTTCACCTGAAATGCTCGGCTCAACAGTGCTACACATTTTTCTAGAGCAGCCTGTGTCAAAATGTCAGACCTAGGAGTAGCGTTCAAATTCGAAAAAATCTACACTCTGTGATGATCTTCTAGTTGCCATTACTATAATTTTTTTTCAACTTTAGATTCTTAGATTTTTCAGATTTGTTCATAGCCTACAATTAGAAAAGTACACTACTTAGATTTTTATATTTTCTTGATAACTATTATGACCTATCCCCTGTTTCCGGCTTGACGTCGACTTCTGTGACCCCTGTATAATGGTGAAGTAAGACACACATTTTTACCTGATGCTGTGTCATAGCATACTTTACATACTTTACATTATATAAATCGATAAAAAATAAGCTTTTCTCCTAGGACCACTCCATTAATAACGTGTATTCTATCTCAACTAATAAAATAATAAGACTGGATACGAACTAGTCGCCACCTGTACTGACTTGTAATGTAACCGGATTCGTCAAAAAACTGACAGTCGAGTGGAGCACGATTTGGTTGTCGTGAGCGGCTCTGTTTGGCGCTCGCTTTAGCGATTCACTAGCGATTTTTTGTAACATTAAATGTAATGACATTACAGCGCTCGGCTTCAGTCCGTCGCCGCCTTTAAAGGTTCATCGAGATTCTGTATCGCACATGTCTGATTATATGTCGTTCTGTCAAACAAAATATGTTATATATATATATATAAATTGGTTAATTGGTAAGAAAAAATGACTGATACAATCCCGTATATAGTGCAAGTTCATCCATTCACACCAACATAAAAAATATAGGATTTATCACTTACCCTCAAAAAAGAATGGGTAAAATCTAATCAAACATTAAACAAAGTACGATATACATATGTTAAACCTTTACATCTCAAACTATAAAAAATAAACCATAATCATAATTTCTTGATGGTAGTCATTGTTTGGCTTATTGTACAGGGTAAATAAAAATTATTGTTTTTACCCCTACTTGATACACTCAGTTGTGCGAATTCATTAGACATTTCAGACCGCAATGGTTTCGATTACCAAGAACCGCATCATCTCTGTAGTTTTTTATCCACCTCAATAATTACAGTGCTTAAGGTTTTAGAATCAAACCTTTTAGCAACAATTTGTCGACTTTTATAACTATTTTAATTCATGTACGAAACACTTGGCCTTCAAATTGTACAGAAATCTATTACATTTCCCTGTTCCCTTTAAGTTTTTTTCTATATCTTCCTTATGCTTAAGTGTTGGGTTTGACAGCCAGACTGACCGACAGATAAATAGACTCATGTAAATCAGGGACAGAGGTGCATAAGGGCCCGCTTAAGCGGCCTATGCACTGGCTCCTTATGGTGGCCGGGATGCCTCTAAAATTCAAGATTCATTCATTCATTCAAATCAGGGACACGGTAGGTAATATCCAAAAAACATAATATACAGAAATAACACTTCAGAGTCACACGGGAGGTAGACTAGCTTCAGATCAATCAGAGAAAATCAACATGTCCTTAGTAATAGTTTTTTAGTTTTCGAGATATTGCCACTTTTAAGTTTTTTTAAAAAATCCCTAGTTTTTGCTCCTTTTTGCCTGTTGTGGCTATAAATAACTTCTAACTTATGATTTTTTTCCTGGGCTACAATTAATAGCTGGTTGAGACAACCGAGTATTCATTTGATCGAAAACTAGCACTGTTTGTTAAAAAAAATTAGTTTCAAAAACCTTTACTAATGTTTGACTAATTATTACTGAACAAAACAAGTACCAGACTGAATCAGCAAATGACCTTAAAAACTATCTAGGTATATAATGTTCTTTCAAAAATAGTATAACATTCGAAGATTCTTTTTACTAAAAACTAAATAATTCCAACTTTTGTCATTGAAGTCGTAATACTACAAATAAAAAATAATAAGTGCAGCTGTCTTTTGTGTCCAAATTACAACTTTGTGGTTGCTGTAATAGCTCTTTATTTTAGCAAATGTCTTATACACCTATCCATTATCCTTTTGTATTCATTGTTGTATACGGGCCTCAAAATAATGAACAGAAAATTAGGTTGTATGTTTTTTTATTTCCATTGATTTTCAAACCATTCAAATTTAATCAAGAACTAGTAATCATTATTAACAGCTTAAAATTAGCTAATGTAAATATTGCCTGAAATAAATGAATATTATTATCATTATTATTATTTTCAAAACAGTTTTTCAAAGTATCTACTACCGACTCTTATACACAACTTGCATCTTCTTAAACATTGTCCTTTTAAACATCCAAAACTTAAGTCGGATATTTTGCCTGCTCCTTGACGAATTCGATGACGCAGTTTATTGGCTGATCGAACTAGTTTTCCATAGATCTTATGTTTTGAACATCCTCAGTAAAAAAATCAGGAGGGTTCAGGTCTGGTGAGCGTGGTGGCCACAAAATTGGTCCTAGCCAACCAATCTATCTTCTAGGAATGTTTCATCAAGATATTCCCTTACTGGACTAGCATAGCGTGCAGGCACCCATCATTATGTAACCACATCCTTCTTCCTGTCTCAAGAGGCGCATCTTCCAAAAGAATGGGTAAGTCGATGTTGCAAAAAGTCTAAGTAAATTTAAGTTATTAATATCATTTGCTGATTCAGTCTGGTACTTTTCTTCACAGTAATTAGTTAAACTTCAGTAGGTTTTCACATTGAAACAGAATGTAATAATTCATTTTTTAGCATACCGTGCTAATTTTCAGTGAAATGAATACTCGGTTAGCTCAAACAACTTTTAATGGTAGCCCAGGAAGAAACATATAAGTTAGAAGTTCTTTATAGTCATAACAGGCAAAAAAGGAGCAAAAAGTGGTGATTTTTTGAAAAAGCTTAAAAGTGGCAGTATCTCGAAAACTAGAAAACTTTTACTAAGGTCATGTTGACTTTAACTGATTGATCTACAGCCAAACTACCTCCCGTGTCACTGGCGTGTTATTTCTGAGACACTATGTATATTTATAGAAATTTTTCGCCGATACATTATTTCCTTGCCAATAAGCCTGAAAAGTAAAAAAATTTCGGATTTACATAATGAAGCGGTATTTGACATTATTTTTCAGAAAGAGATCTGATGCCTCCCACCACAAACATTTTGCAGTATGTTGCTGATTATTACAAAAATCGAGGCTTAAACGAGTTCGGCTTTGGATTTTTTAACCGCCTGACTGGCTTTACGTTACTCCTATGCGACTTTGTTATTGTGCAAAATTTTATCTAAATCGGATCAATATTGCCCGAGATATGTGATATTACGGTTTTGGCGTGCTTAAATAATCCACCCTGTATATTCATGAAAAATGAACTCAGAACTTTTTTATTTAATGCCATGAGCATATCTCGATCTATATACTACTTGTCGATCTACTATATCCCTCTATATGCTGGACAAGAATTTATTTTAGGTCATCTTGTATAGAACGATTACAACTTTTAAACAATGATTGATTCTTCGATCGGAACTTGTATGCCTCTTTTGTTTGCCTTTTAAGGCGTGAGTTTCTGTCTATCTGTCGCAAAACGTTGACGCGGGGTGATGTCCGAATAACGACTGGAACTGCATCGATCCAACTCTCTCACAAAACGTTATGCTCTCGAGGAGACGAAATCAGAGACGTTCACTTAGATATATAGAGAAGGATTACAGCTATACCTCCGAAGATTATTGATGTTATGTACAGGGATTAGTTGCTTGTGGGGTGTCAGGTATTACATTATCCTAGGTTAAATTTTTAAGGCAGTACCCATCATGATGAAATGTGGTAGAAGATATCTATCTCATTTTCAATGAGTCTCACACCAGGGACAGGCTAGTACTGTTTTGTCTGTTTTTTCCCAGAAATGATTGCCGAATACGAAGATGATGCCCACTTTTGCCTAAAATGCCATACGACAATCATTGGCCTCGACAACTATGTGGAACACAGGAAAACAGGGTGTTCCAGAAACCCAAAGTCACCTCTACCAAGTCAACTCCTTCCTCCAGATGACTCTTTTGGACCCAAGGCTGACGATTTCTTCTCTTCTCTGGAACTCAGGAGCAGTTCAAAGAAAAATGAAGTCCATCCTTCTACTTCTGGCAAGGGCATCAGTGGAATTTTAACCAGAAGTAAGACAACTGCAGTCATACAGGTTAGAACCATTCTCTTGGTAGTCTTTATGTTCTATTAAAACACTCCTTGAACATTTTTTTCTGTAACAAGAACCCTTTACAAATTACTAATTACAAAATGTTTGCTGAATCTTCTTTACATGTTCTGGAGGTAAAATGCCAGATCAAGATCATGCTATTTTGTTGTTTGCCCTTTCACAGGCTTCAGCTACTTCCGCAAAAGATCCAGATCCCCCGCAGTCCAAATCAGGCAAAAACGTGTGGATTGGAGGACATCAGCTTAAGGAACTTGGTCATGGAGACAACCAATCAAAATTAATTAAAGCCGTTGCAAACCTTGAACGACAGAAGGAAGGGCCAACTAAACTACAAGTCTACGACGAATCTGAAGACGAATCTGATGATTATGACTATGATGTTGAGGAGTCAAGTAGTGACGAAGATAGACCTCCTAGGTAAGACATCCCAAACTAGGTGGTGAGGGTTGGGTATTATGACCTATTGTTATTTCAGAAACTACACTGGAGGCAAATGGAAACCCTCGTCACCTATACAGTGGTCTAGGAACGACTGGAACGTTCCGCCTCCTTCTTACACTGGAGGAAAATGGAAACCTCCTCCAACTCACACCAAAGGCAAGTGGAAGCCCTCTTATGGAAAGGAAGATGACATTCCTCCACCAACATTTACTGGAAGCAAATGGGTAGCTTCTAAGAAACAAGATGATAGTCTGGATGTACCACCACCTACGTTTACTGGGAGTAAGTGGGTTTCTTCTAAAAGACAAGAGTACCAGGATGAGCCACCTCCAAGTCATACTAAAGGAAAGTGGAAGCCAAAGGAGGATGAAGATTATTTTCCTCCTCCGAGTCATACAAAAGGGAAGTGGAAACCTGATTTTCCTCCACCTTCTCATACCAAAGGAAAGTGGAAACCTGGGGAGTTTCCACCACCTTCCCATACAAAAGGTAAACTTCCAATATTTAACGATATATGGCTAATATTATGTTCAACCTTCGTCTGTAGAGATGATACATCATAGTAGTTCAGGGTGTGTCTCAAAGATGATTACGAATTTAGAAATTAAATTATAGAAATGCTACGCATCTCAGGTTACATATTAACACATTAACGAACATTTTTCTCTTGGGATGAGTGTTAAATCTGGAGATCTTGGTGGCCTTGAAATATTACCAAAGCAAATAGTCGGCTCATCTTCTTCAAAAATGTGAGAGGCATATTGTTCACGGACGTGGTTTCAGCAAGACGGTGCCACTTACCACACTACGGATCGACTTTCTAGGCTGTCTGCTCACTTTTGTGACACTTCATGGCCACGGCGATCACCAGAATTTACTCCTGCGGATGTTTTTCCATGGAGGTGCCTCGAGAGGAAAGTTTACGTGAATACGCTGAGGAATAATGCCGATTTGACAAAATATCTGCCGCACTATGCAAAATATTGTCAACAGATTCCGTGAGTGCATGCAACGAAGTGAACGACATCTACATGGCGTAATCTGTTAAAAATAAAATCCGTACAGCTGATTATTTTGAAAGAAATTTACCTAAAATGGACTGATATTAAATTAATCTTCTTCGGGATACTCAATATATTGGTTTTTGAATCTGTTCTTATAGATAAATGGAAACCAAGGGATGATCTCGAAACATCAATGCCCGTAGAACCAGAGAAGGCTCAAGCGGTTGTTACGGAGTCCAAACCAGAAGACGATCGTTGGATAACCCCTTCTGCAAGCAAAGACATAAGCATCATGGACCAATCACTACCAAAGTCAACTGATGCCAACCAATACTGGTGTGGCCTTTGTAACAGGAGACTCTCTTCTAAGGTTGTATATGAAAGACATCTGAAATCTGAGCTGCACTTCAAACGAATGGTCCACGACTTGGACTTTGACGACAACAGTATTTTGACGAACAAACGGCGTTCTAGAGTAACTCCTCCTGAGGTGATATTCAGCAACCAGAAGAAAACGTCACCCAAAAGCGAAAAGCAACGTATCAGAAAGAAAACTTATGAAAGATGTGAAGTTTGTCACTCTAAAGTCTACGCTCATCTTATTGGGAAGCACCTCATATCTCATTATCACTGTAGAAGAGGAGATATCACATCAGCTACAGCAAAGTGCATGGTTTTGAAAAACATTTACGAGATAGTTTTGGAGAGTCCTTTTCAGTGCAGTATCTGCAAGTTCTATTGCAATACTCATGACGATTTCCTAAAGCATTGGCTATCGCAAGGCCATGTTGATAATAAGAAACCAGGTTATTTTTTCTGTAGTTTTTGCAATCATAGAAGTGAGGACACCAAACTAATGTATGACCATCTGGTATCACCTAGTCATTTGGAAGTTGTTTCTGTTATAAACAGGTATGTAGAAAATAGTACCTAATGCAAATTGTTATAATGGCACTCGTTTAAAAACGTGTAAATATTAATAATAGGCTTCTATGAGATATTGCTTATAGCTGGAGCTATCTGGATCCCCAAAACCTCATACTAAATGCCCCCACTTCTAGTTCTACGAATGTCCTTTCGTGATATATGTCTCAATTTAGCCTTATTCCAGATATATACCGATTGTTATCAAGAAAATAAATCCGGTATATTGTTCTACTTGCAATAAAGAGTTCAGTCTGAATATTCAGTTATTGCGGCATTGCAAGAAACTGAATCATGGCGAGGAAGACGAGTTGAAAAAGCTCCAAGCTGTGAACTTATGCGACAAATGCGGTGAAAATTTTGTGTCTGGTGTTTCCTTGCAGGTTAGTGTTATCCAACAGGAATCTTCTCAACTTCTATACTGTGATACTGACAGTTAAATATAGACAACGATACTCAAAAATTTCACGTCTTGCTATTTAAATTTACTGTGCCTATTAAAAACAATTGCTACTATCGAAAATTGTGGTTATGGCTGATATCTATCTAATCTGAAAAATGTTCATTTGAAACTTAAGCTTTTGCTTCATATATTCTTGAAACTTTTGTAGAGACACAAAGAGTTAGCTCATGGAGAGAAATACTATTTCTGTAGCCCCTGTAACATAAAACTAAAGAGCAAGAAAGACATGAAAGCTCATAGAAATACTCAGGAGCATACTTATAATTACATGGAGAAGAAAGGAAAATCCAAAGAAAAAGAATGCGATTATTGCGATGAAACTTTTGGAAATTTCTTATTATTGAAGAAGCATTTGAAGGATGTACATCCTGAGTACCAAATCAGGTGAAAAAATCAAATTTTGAACAATATCCATAGATTGTTTTATTTTTAGTTTCGAAAAGTGTCTAAATTCATGACGATTTTGGATATGACTAAGTAATATTCTTCATTTCAATGCTTCAGATCATGATGATCCCGAAAACTTTGAGAATGCTTTAAAATTTTGAAAATGCTGAAAATTATATCACTAGAAATATCTTGAGAATTCACACGTTCTGGGAAATTCTGAACGTTTGGGGTTCTCAATTTTAAGATCTTAAAAAGAAATGGTTTTTTTTTCTTCACTAGATGCGGCTTGTGTGGTGAAATTTTCGCAGTAGCAGCTGAGCTAGCTGCCCACATTCGTCGAAAGGCATGCAAATTTTCTTCAAATGATGAGGGCACCCTTCAATGTGAACGATGTCCTTTCAAATCCAGCTCTATGGCAGAACTTCATTTTCACGGAGTTTTTCATGACGAAAAACCAGTCACCTTCACTGTGGGCGATGGTGAAAAGGTTGTGTCTAAGTATAAGTGCCCTCTGTGCTCAAAAATGTTCACTAAGGCTTCGCTGCTTCCTCATATTAGGCAGCATACTAAAGAAAAACCGTTTGAATGCAAGGTATTTAAAATAATAAAAAGATGGATAATTAATACAATGAAAAATCAATGCATGACTTCAAAATTTGTAGAATAGGGTACGAAAATGAGAGTTGAACTTATGTCTTTTTATCGTAACTTTAACGGCTTCAAAGAACTATTTATTGTTTTAAAGTTATTCTGAATTTTGGCATTGGTTTTGGTTAATATTGACATATCTAAAATTGTATTGTCTTATAGATCTGCGGGAAAAAGTTCGCCAGGAAGAACAATTTGAATTTTCATGTCAGAAATCATAAAAATGTATACAAAAGAAGGAGCAAGGAGCAGACCTTTCTATGCTCCGTGTGTGGGGATAGCTTCAACAGAAGGTAAGTTTCTGTTGCATTTCAAATACTCACATTACGTTTCGTATCTTTTTTCCTTTATACACATTACAAGATCTCATTTCCTCCAATCTTCATCATATACACTACTAGATCTCATTTCCTTCGTGGTGTTCTTCCGACAGGACTTTCAATTTTATTATATGTTTGAAAGTGTCAACCGACAGCTCCAGGCGCACTACTTACTAAGTTTTTCAGTGGACCGCATCCGCTTGTTTGCTTTTCGTTTCCTGTCTCTAGGACAACACCTATAATGTTCCAATGATTGCTTATAAGCATGAAACGGCCTCGAACACTGTCGGCTCTGTATTTTCTCAGGTAAGGTGTTTTTGACGAAGGTCAAGGTCAGATCCTTACTAGCTTTGAACAAGCGGTTGAATAGTGACCCTGGATTTGACCTTGAATCTAACTTTCAGTCCTATTTCATGGTCATATTTTATTTTAGAAATCTCCTTTCTGATCGGAAGAACGAAAAGTTATATGTCCGACTAACTAACCCTAGTGAACCAACTTCATTAGGACCTTTACGAATATGAATATAGCCTGAAACTTTCCGTTCTAATAAAGTTAGAAAAGCTAACCCAACTGAAACACAAAGTAATAAAAACAAGCTTGAGGAAAATTTTAAACATTTTATTTGTCAATTAAATTACATATACAGATTGTAAATAACGGGTGCGGCAGAGAGGATGGACGGTTTTAAAAAAATCATAAAATAGTTAATTTTGACTCGAAAAAAAATTTATTGATTGAATCAGGTTCACAAGGAAATAGCATTTGAGACAGTCAAGTGTGGAAAATCACATCAGGCATGTGGTGGCCGAAATCGTTGATGCAGTGCAGGAGGCGTTCTTGGAAGTTCGCGTAGACTCTCTCCAACATCGCTCTCTCAACTTGGGCGACTTCCGCGCGAATTTCGCCCTTAAATTCGTCCAGAGTTTCGCCTTACCGAACGATCACTAAGGCGAAGTGCACCAGCATGTTTCCGGGCAGATCGAGTCGGACTGCGAAGAAAGGCCTGTCGAACACGTTCAACATTTTCAGGAGTTCGAACTGTTCGCGGCGCACCCATTGGTCTTCTGTTGATCAGTTCACCATGCCTGTGAAGTGATTCAACCCAACGAAGGATGGTGTTTCGAGAGGGAACAGCTCTATTCCGATGAATGTTGAAGTGGCGACGAAACTCACGCTGTACGACGATGACTGACTCATTATTTCGGACGAAACAATCATAGGCGAAAACGCGGTGCTCCATAACGACAACTGGTAAAATAATGCTAGGATCTTACGAGTCAAACGGCACCCTCCCCACCTCTCTCGTAGACGGAGGTGGAGAGTACTACCCATCCCAAAAACGTCCGTCCTCTCTGCCGCACCCGGTATATTGCACTATCCGGCGAAAATAATAATAATAATATAATTAGAATCTAAGATGAAGTTTACCTCTGAAGGTCAAATGAAAGACAAATGTGTGGGGCTAGAAAATGTCTAGAAGTCAAGTAGGATTGTTGATGAGAAAATTAAGGTCAGCTCTTTTAACTTAACTTTTAATTTCGATATTAACCCTGAATTTGACCCTGAGCTTCTCATTCAATAGTACATGAGAGCGTATATTTGAACGTGAAATTTTCCATTGTCGGTGTTAAAAATTGGAACGGGAGATTCTAAAAACTTGTCCAAATAACTCTTGTCAGTCACCAAACTCCTTATTCAAGGTTAGTAAAAACCTGACCATGATATTTTTCAAAATACCTTACCTGGAAACGTATTGCCTAAACATCATGAGGCTTCAGTTATCAAACTGGAGGTCTAAGCTATAAGTTGTATATGTTGATGATAATTACATTGGGTTCTTGTCTCAAATACACTTAATTGAGATTCAAAGCTAGAAATTAGTTGCGCATCCACTTTTTCTTATCCATTCTGGAAATTACATATACAAATTTGCTGAATTTCAAAAACGAGAGAGATAGGAAATGATTATATTCACTGTACACTGTCGAACTATAAGCCATATACCTGTATGTTACATGCTAATAGAAATTTCATACAATGCGGGCGCGATGATGATTTCCCGTAATTCTCCTCAGTTTTTCGTAATTTATAACTTTGAACATATCCTGTCTTCAGAAAGCCCAACATATAAATAACTCGTCGGGCACAGCTAATAGATAACCTTCATTGGCAGCATATTCTGTATATATCACTGATTTTATACACATGCAGACTAATACACATAATCAGCCACATGCGATCTTGCTATTCAACCAACTTTCCTCTCGGAGATAAAAACTATAGACACGGACCACTCGGCCTCACAAAACATATGCAACCAATAATGCGTGTAGCTTAGTTGAATGATTCCTCCATAGATGGACGTTCACAACGATCCTAGTGTCTTATAGGTTTTTTTTTGACGTTTTATAGGTTTTTTTACGTAATACCCGGCACGTTCAGTTACTGTTACTTTGTTAATTGTTACACCCAGTATATTCATTGCTATAACCTTTTTACGAAGATGAAACCAGCGAAACGTATGACGAATTATCAGTTCGACGAGTGTTAAAACTGCGCGGCGTTTGTACAAACCAAACAACGTCAACCCGGCCAAAGCAAGATTATCCGATGCAGGCAACCCTGTAGAGCTTCGGTGTCAGTAAATAACTTAAGTACACATTAGAAGACACAGTTTGCTGGAGGCGGTGAGGTATATATCACTCTGTTCTGGCAGGGCTGGGGGCGGTCAGATCCAACTTAAACACGGAATTACGAGATAATACGTTGGACAAACTCCTGAGCAAACCCTAACCCTTCGACTCGGCCTCCATTTTGCATGGACGACGGAGGCCATGTTGGAGTCGCGGAGGAGACGAGATTCCACAGAAAGGATAGGAGGAGAAAATTTGTAACGAATTAGGTATTAATTACCCGTCTACATAATTGAATATAAGTACAAAACGAAAGGATATGATGATGATCATTTCTATTCCGATTCGAACCATTAACATTTAAGGTGGACTTAAATTATAATTGTAAATACCTGAAATAGCTTTGCACCTGAAAAAATCAGAAATGCAATTGGATCATTTAAACAGATTATTTTATGCCGTAACATGCTGTCATAACAGATCCACAGCTCACAAAACCTCCCACCCATAGAAAATTAACAAGAAGAAACGAGAAAAGAGAAACGATATACAAAATTAGCAAGCGACATGACCCCCGAATTCCTTTTGTAATTGTTATACAATTATTGAGGGAATTTCGTTCATACTTTAATTAAGAACAGACTCTAATTAGACGTCACGACCTTTTGGTCCTCTCTCCACCATATTATTCCTGTTTTTAATTCATTCTATGTTACGCTGGAAGCACAACAGCAACATCTGGAATGTGTTTGTTATTCGTAATTTTTTGATATTGTCTAAGAGGATATAACATAAAATCATCTTACAATTAGTGAAAACTTCCATTTGTCGCAGTATATCAGACAAGAATTAGATGATTCTATTGTTCTTGAGATAACGAGTTTTCCTTCTTGTGCCACTTCAGCTGTAACGTTATTTGTTTTGCACATGGCCACATTTCTGAGAAAGAATATGAAGCATCGCACTTGGTCAGGATACCAAGAAGTAAGAAGTAGATGGCGGTACCAAAAACTTTAGAGTCAGCGTTAAAAAAGCCAAATCTGTAATGTTTGGTTACGAAGCCTTCGGCCCACGGCAGCTCACTGAAAGTTACTTTATTTTTTGTTAGTTTTCTCAAAGAAAGATTAAATGCATTGGTATGATTTTTTTTTTTCATGAAAAAGTAGCTAAATGATGTTTAAACAAGCTCGCGGAAGCCGCATCTCGATATCTTGATCCTAATTTAAGATCTAGGCCAAAGAAAACTTTATACGAAAATCCCTTAAATATATAAAAAACACGACTTCTAATTTTTTTTGATAAACTTAATCTGATTAATGAAAAACAATTTGGATTCCAGAAAAACAAGTTTACCCAAGACGCAATTTTTTTTTGATATCAAAATTATACAACTTACTGGACCAAAGTGTATATACCCTGTGTGTGTTTTTAGATCTAGCAAAAGCATTCGACACAGTAGACCATTTGCTACTATTAGAAATCTTGCACGACCCGGGAATTAGAGGCAAGGCGTATAACCTCATGAAAAGTTACCTTTCCAACAGAACAAATAAATAATTCTTTAAGCACAAACAAATTGATAACGTATGGTGTCCTACAAGGGTCAGTGTTAGGCCCCTTATTATTTACATTTTACATTAATAGCTTGCTGAGCTTAAAATCTGAAGGGACAATCATATGTTTTGCAGACGATACTACTATCATTTACTCGGATGATCTAAAAGTGAAGGTTGAAAGAGACTTAACGATAATTGCAGAGTGATTCAGACATAAAAGCCTAACTATTAATTTTCAAAAGACTATGGTCATGCCATTCACAAATCACAGAAATAAATTACCATCCTTTGTATCTATACAGATTAACTGTGATGATATAAATACTACTCAAATAAATTTACCAAACAAAATCAAATATTTGGGTGTATATTTAGACTCACATTTAAAGTGGAATATACATATTGATCATGTAATAACCAATTTGAGACCATTATTGTTTAAATTCAAATATCTAAACAAATATTTGGATAAAAAAACAATGAAAATTTTATATCATGCTATGATCGAAAGTCGTATTATAAGTTACGCAATATTAGGTTGGGGTGGAGCACTTAATAACCAAATTAGTAAATTAGAATTTTTAAAAATAATCTTTGACAAGCCGCTCTTATACCCATCTGATCTGTTGTATTATGAAGCAAAACTATTAGACCCTAGGCAACACTTTTTTTATAAAATTATAAATTATCAATTTCAGCATAGAAATAATCTTATTCCGTTAATTCACTTATATCAAACTAGAAACGAAATCAACAACATTAGGCAAACACCTTTCACCTC